GGAATTGCAGAGTATATGGAGCTGTGTGGACAGATATTATAAATATTATCAACATTGATAAGGAAGGATGTAGGCAGAATGGGTGGAAAAGGAAAACTTTGAAGGGATATGGCATGTGTGTGTGTGTGTGTATGTGTGTAGGTTGAGGGGCAATGTAACTTAGGGTTATGGGGCTGATCTTGGGTTTAAGCTTTGACCCTGAAACATACTAGCATTGTGACCAGAGGCAAGTCATTAAATCTCTCGGTGGCCCTAGTCAACTCTGTAAGATTATTAGTTACAGATGTGTGTCAGTGGAGGGAGTTTCCATACTCGGAGTTCGCCACACTGATAAAACATAGGTCCGAATCCACTCTTCTCACATCCCCATATGTGTGCATATATCATATTTGTTTAAATAGGGAAAGTGTGTATATATTTAGATCTAGGTAGTTCTAGATATAGGTTTGTGTATGTATTCTGTACTAAAGTCTTATTCTAATGACTCATCACTGCATGGAGGTAATCCTGGGTTTTAGGAGGCTATGCCAGCCATTCATAGCCTCTGGCTTTCATTATGGGCCTGGTGATGACCTACCTACCAGTATTCGGAGAGGTTCACAACCAGAAGTGTTGAATGTTTTTGGCTGCAGTAACTTATTGAATTGTCTGTTGAGGCATGGCAGAATTTCCCTACACATTGATATAAAGAGTTTTCATAGTAATAAATTCAGGCATCCTTAAAATATAAAGAGTGTGTGTGTGTGTGTGTGTGTGTGTGTGTGTGTGTAAATGAGCAGCAGTGTGACAGTGAGGATTAGCCTTGGAGTCAAGGTAACCTGGGGTTCAATTCCTGTGTCAAACACATACTGGCTTTCAGTTAACCATTCCACACTTCCAGACTATTTTACGAGTTTGCAAATCTTTATTGGCATAGAATTTCCTCTCTGGCAGCTCCTACATTGATGAAATTACAAGTTCAGTTAAAAAAAAACATACCAACAAAAATCTACCTTACAGGACAACAAAGAATGGAATACATGTCTATAGCCAACCTATATATAGAGAGAGCTTACTATGTTACAAGCACTGTGCTAACCACTTTACAAATATTATCTCATTTGATCCTCAAAACAAGAAGTAAGTACTGTTATTACCCCATGACTTGCTTAGGGTTACACAGTTAGTAAGAATGGATGCTGGATTTGAATTCAAGTCTTACTATCTCTGGGCCCAGCACTCTAACCACTGGGGTTTAAAGGGACCTTGGAGATCTAATGATAAAACTGTGTGCCCTGAAGCGTTAATCTCTTCTTAACATATTCCTGGTAAGGAGTTGTCCAGCTTCTGTTTGATGACTTCCAGTGACAGGGAACTTGCTACCTTCTGCATCAAAGGGAGTTGGTAAACAGAGTTGGAGGTTCTGTATATTCTGTTTCTGTGGGTCAACCAGTTCAGTTGTATTAAATTTGGTAAGGCTTATGGATTGGGGAATTTTGGTGCTGTTCAAATGGAGCATACAGTTAAGAAACAGACAAGAAAAGCCCAAGTGAATGGTGCAGGAGAAAGTTCAAAATGTACAGGGCAAAGTGTCAAGGCAGCTCAAAGGCTTGAAAGAGGGAAACAGATGGATGGCAGTGTCGTTGAGGGAAACTAAGAGGAAAGGAGAAAAGTTACCACAGTATTTGTGTTAGGAACATAATCACTACATATGGTAGCAAAAGGAAAAGAGAAGCATGTGGCTGACTCAGAGTACAGTACAAACTATACCATCCCATGGTTGTCATAATATTTGTAATGAACAGGAAAGGAGAGATTTGTGAGAAAGATGGGTTAATGCCCTAATTTTGTGTCTGGAAAGGAACAAAAAAACTTCAAACTGTTGAGTAAGGATGTGTTATATTGCCTCGTTTGTTGTATAATATTAAGGCTCACAAGGCCTTGTAATTAAAAATTTTTGATAGCTTCAATTCAGATGACTTTGCATAAAATCACTTAGCCTGATTCTGTTTCCTAATCCATTCGATGGAGATAATAATGCATTACTAACCTCGCAGAGTTGTAGTGAGGAATAAATGAAATTAACAAAGTGTGTCATGGAGTTGAAAGGGAAGATTTCAACATGAGTGAAGAGAGGGCTCAAAGTATTAATAAACTAAAGAAAAAAGCAAAAAAATAACTGTGGAGCAGGAAGGTAACAGAGCAGGCCTATAGCACTCTGTCATCGACTAAGTTTTCTTTGTGACTGGTGTCCATAAGAAGGCCACTTATGAAGACATTTGTGACAGTTTTACAGAGTATTGAGAAATCAACCTGCACAACTATATAGCATATGTCAAGTGATATACACAGGTCAAATCTGAAACATTCAAGGAGACTCATGCTGCCATGGAGAGAGTTAATGGCTAGGATTTGATAGAGCAGCCAAAACAGTTGGCTGGTGTTTTATTTAGGGCTTGCCTCTCTCTCAGTTTAGAGAAGTGGCCTAAAATGTAGCAGGAGTTCAGACTAGTGATGCTAATGACAAACAGTTTTATTGTCTAGATATAAATCATTGCAGAGGATTGATTTGCCTACATTCAGTCTTTTTTTTTTTTTTTTTTTTTAGCTAGGCAGTGGGGTTAAGTGACTTGCCCAGGGTCACACAGCTAGTAAGTGTCAAGTGTTTGGTCTGAGGTCGGATTTGAACTCAGGTTGTCCTGACATCAGGGCCGGTGCTCTCTTGACTGCGCCACTTAGCTGCCCCCTACCTACATTGTCTTGAAGGAAGGGGGGTAGGATGGGGCTCCAAAGAACGGCCTCTGTTATTGTTAAATAATACTATTAGGTAAAGCCATAATCAGCACCTGCCTAAACAAAAGCACATAGATTATGTTTTATCAGAGCCATTCTCTGTAAGATAAGCAATTTTAGAGTGATTTTGGCTCTGGTTCCTGGATAGTTGAGAAGGCAAAAACATTTTTACAAGTAAATATAGTTGATTGTGCTATGAGTACTTTTTGAAGGATGGCTCTGACCTTTATAACTTGTCATGGAATTAGTAGACTAGATCTGTCTTCTAGAAAAACACATAAAAAACTCCAACAAAAACCAGCCTGATGACCTTAAGTGCAGAATTTTGTGGATTTTCTAGAAATTGAATTGAAAAATATGGCTTATAACCAGAACAATAAAATTGTTGACAAAACTAATTTAAGTAAATAAAATACTGCTGGATTTGAGCTTAATAAGGACATAATGATCATATACTAATGCTGCATAAAATTAAATACTTGATAATTGGAAAGTGGAATCACGTGAGAACTTCCAGAAGCTGTTATATAGTTGTATGTGAACAAAGAATTTTGTATTGGATCCATCATATTTTTGGATCTATATTGAAAGAATATTTTAGAAAGACTTGAATGAATAATAAAAAAGATTTTATTTCCAGCCAAATGGAAAGCACACACAAAACAGTCTAAGTTAGTGTAAGGAAATATGTTTGTCATCTTTATGCCTTCCACTGTTACCTCATTGATTCTACCTCTGGACCAGACAGAACGATATCTAGTTATAATGAATTGTGGCAATTGTCTCACAGTCCTATGCTTTTTGAGAGACCATTTCTGCCTTAGGAACCAGGCACCTGGTAACTTTCCAGTGTCCCAAGGAGGCTACTACTGGACTAGACAAGGGGTGGCTTAACTAGAGGGGACAGGGGAGGGAAGGGAAACTAAAGAAAGGAGTTCTGCATAAAATCATCCTATAATGCCCTGCATCTTCACCAAGTAAAGGAAATGGAATTGCCTTTACCCACCATTCCTTTGGCCGGCCTTGATTTTCATTTTAATCAATTATGTGACATCTTAATCTGTTGTTCCTTTTCAGATGTGACATATTTTAAAATATTAGGGTTTGGGAAGAGGGTTGGGTGTGTGACCTACCTTATTAGAGTAATCAAATTGTAAAATGTTTTTACAGGATAGATTGTATAAGAAAGCTGTTCGACCTGGGCTTTTGATCTCATTATAACATAAATTACATTTTAAAACATTGCTTTCTGGCCAGAATTCTATTGTAAGTAGAATGTTAAAGAAGACTTGGAGAAAAATTGTGACTTCCTACTATGTTCAAAAATGTTGTTGTTTTTTTCTGATGACAAACTCATACTTTGAACACTTCAAATTAAGGCTTACAAATAATGCAACTGGTAACCAATGGCATGGAGCTTGAAGTGGCATATAGCATTATTGAAGCAGAAAGAAATAAAGACTGTTTTGGATGCTGGGGTCAAATGACAGAGATACAGAAAGCGGAGAAAATTAGAGAAGAGGCTCAAACTGGAGGAAAAGCTGTCTCATACTTTGAGTCAGTTATTTATTTTGCAGTGTTTTGTACTTCTCAGAAGTTTACAAGCCACAGGGAAAAAACCTAACTTAATCATGTTCATTCAACTAACAAATCATTATTAGGTATGTGTGCTTCACACATAGCAGACGCACCTCATAATGATTTGTTGACTGAATATGATTAAGTTAGGTTTTTCTGTGGCTTGTAAACTTAAAAGGATAGATCTTCACTTATATGGAATGGTGTGGGTAAACCCCGCCCATAAGGAGGGCAAACATAGTAATATCTGGATCAGACCTTTTTAGATCTAGGTTTTGGTTTATGTAAGCATGGTTTTCTGACCCACAATTTAGATTCAGTGTATATAGTTGTATTAGACTTTAACATGCTAATTCAAATGTTAAAATAATGAAGTACTGAAGTTTCTCAAGGGTATTTATCCCAAGAGGTGATTAATAAACAATGGCCTATTTTGGTAAGAATGAATGTCCTTTGCAGATGTCTTTAAATTGTTAAGATATTCTCCCCCATCTGTTGATGAGTATGGCTCCCTGTTTCGGTAATGATTGACATCTGTTTTCTTTTCCTTTGGATAAACATGGTACTGAAGATATTTAGCCTGGTTTTAATAACAAATATAGTTTAATTATACTCCATTAATATACTTTTATCCTATGCTTTTTCTGTAGTACTTTGGAAGTCTGCTTGTGATTTTCTGCGTGGAGCTAGCCTGTGGTGTTTGGACCTATGAGCAGGAAGTTATGGTAAGTTCAAAGGGGGAAACTAAAATATTCTAAAATTTGGGTTAAACCAGCTTTCAAAAAATATATTATTCCAAAGGCGCTATCATTAGTTTGAAGGTACATTTTCTCTAATTATGATACATGTGATAAAAATCTTTTTCTCCTCTGGCAAAAGAGGTCCTCCCTGCCATGTGTATGCTTCCAGAGTTTACATTATAAGTAATTTAGGGCATTTTCCTTGTTCATTGTAGATACTTAATAAATACTTATTGATTGGGGGTGGAATGGCACTCATTTAGGAGTTATATAGCTTCCACTGTAGAAAAACAGCTTTATTCATTATATTTGTAAACACTTGTAATGCAATACTTTATTTACATAGCGATTGATATTATGCAGATATCTTTTCTTTATGCCCTTCTGTGTACATGCATTTTAAAATGCAAAACATTTCTTTTTAGTGCCTTAGCCTTGTTTTTTGAGTGATTATTAGTTTTTTATATATGTCACGACATATTCACATTGCAAGCACATATTTTAGTAGTAAATTAGCAATAATTTACATAATTTACACAGTATGATTATGAAATGAATTTTTAAAAATCAAAATATACTTCTCAATTTAAATTTTTAAAAATCCAGGCAAAATTGGATAAAGTTAAAATGTACTTGAGTAGTACAATATATAGTCTTTAATATATTTGCCCTTTATGCCTTTGCTGCAATTTGTCCTTCTGGGTTAAGAATTTTATAGATTTCCAAATTAAAAATTTATGTTGAAATAATTTTTTTTTTTTTAACATCATCTTTATGCAAATCTGGCTAATTTTTGGTAGCTTAGTTAGGAGCATCTAACACCAGTGCTGGGAGATTTTTGCTCCAAAACTTGTAATGACAATTCTGTATGCCATGGAAGTGGCATTTGTCAGGTAGCACCTTTTTTCATATCCCCTTTGGCCTCAAATCTTCATCAGGCTCCATCTCTTCAAGTAAGAGTTTTTGGGTAGCTTTAGTATCTTTAATGTCTCGGGTAATTTACTTCTGATTTTTTCTTTTCTCTTACCTCCTCTTCTTGAAGCAGGAATCACTCAGTCTTAAGTGGTTACACTAAATCTAGTAGCATTTAAAAAGTGTCCTGCAATACTATTAATCCACTTCAACATGTTCCTAAGCTTGTATGGCCTGTCAGCCATTCATTTAAATGAATAGACTTTTTTTTAATTAATAAATTTATTTATTTTTAGTTTTCAACATTTACTTCCACAAGATTTTGAGTTCCAAATTTTCACCCCATCTCACCCCTCCCCCCACCCCAAGATGGCATGCATTCTGAATACCCCTTCCCCTAGTCTGCCTTCTGTTCTGTACCCCATTTCCTGTATATCTTATTTCCCAGTTGCATGTGAAAACATTTTTTTTAAATGTATGTTTTTAAAACTTTGGGTTCCAAATTTTCTCCCTTTCTCCCTCCCCACCCACCCTCATTGAAAAGGCAAGCAACTCAATATAGGTGCAGTTATGTGCAGTTATGCAAAACACTTTCATAGTAGACATGCCGTGAAAAACTAACTCTATTTCCCTTAATCTTATCCTGCCCCCCATTTATTCTATTCTTTCTTTTGACCCTGATCCTCCTCAGAAGTATTTGTTTCTGATTACCCCCTTTCCCAGTCTCCCCTCCTCTCTATCATCCCCCTACTCTCTTGTCCCTTTCCCCCCCATTTTCCTGTAGGGTAAGACAGATTTCCATACCCAATCAAGTGTGTATGTTAGATGAATAGACTTTTTAATAGAAGGTTTTGGATGATGAAGTTGTATACTAATTTTTAGGGGAGGTTTAGAGTGGTTTTTTGACATGTTCATTCTTAAATGTTTTAATTTCAATATGGGTATTATCTCCAGGGGGTACAGCTCACTCCCCATCCATCCCTTCTCATCCCATGTGACTTGCCTGTGCCCTCATATTATAAATTTTCTACAAGGGTACACTTGACATTCTAGGGATTTTCCCTTAGGTCTCTTAGCATTGTGTGGGTGCCAATGGAGCACATGGTCTGTACATGAATTTATCTAATTTAATAAGTTATCCTTTGTTCTCACTTCATGACTAGCCCACTGCCTTTCCTGGTCATACAGTTCTTCAATGATATTTTTTTTGCTGCTTTTCCTTTGCAAATCTTTTAAAAATTAGAAAAAATAATGAATTCAATAATTGGTAAATAAAAATATTTCAATATAAAAAGAACAAAAAAGATGCTTCTGCTTGGTAGCTTTTTCAAGTATATAACAAATTTAATAATACCTTTCGATATGCAAAGGACTACAAAGAGACCTACTTTGTGGCTTTTTTCAAGTACATATTAAATTAACAAAAAATTAAGAAAATTGCTGTTTGTGTTCCCTTCTGCACATCTTTTGTTTCTTTTGTGTGTTTTGATAATGTTTTAATATTGCTATTTTTTTTTTATTTTTATATTTTTTTATAATTTCCCCTTTTCCCCCCCCCAAAAACCCCCTTTTTTTTTTTTTTTTTTTTTGGTGAGGCAATTGGGGTTAAGTGACTTGCCCAGAGTCACAAAGCTAGTGAGTGTAATGTGTCACAGGCTGGATTTGAACTCAGGTCCTCCTGACTCCAGGGGCAGTACTCTATCCACTGTGCCACCGAGCTGCCCCCAAAACCCTCCCTTTTAAGGAAAAATGTGGATTCAAGCAAAACAAATCAATATAATGGCCTTATCTGATTTTACTGTGTACTTCTTCATTGGTAATATACGGCACCTTATGACCGCCATGTGACTTTCTATTGTCCTTTGGGTGACCTGCAACTTTTAGTCTTTGGAGATTGTGATATTCCGTGCTCCGTAGCCACAAAGCATCCCTGAAAGAATATTAGTGTTAAAGAGATGAGTCTTTGTTTCAGAGAGAAGCCTGAGGTCATTAAAAGCTGCACAATTTACCAAATGCAATCCAGCTGGTTCTCTTCCTCCTCTTTAATTCTGTGTACCCAGTTTATGGTGCATCTGGGGTGTCTATTCAAAATATACACACAAACTGATAGATTAGCTCTAGAGGTTATTCAAGGCTTTTGTTTTGCTGACTTAATTTTTCAACTTATTAGTAAAACCAGTAAATGCAGGTTTTATTAAATTCTGGCAAAGTATTTAATAATAAAAATTTGTACTTTATACTTTTTTAAGAATAGGATTGGGACCTTTGTATAATCTTCTTTTCCAATTCAATGTACCTCAGAGAATTGATTTGCTTATAGTAGGTCTTTAATAAATGCTTGTTAAATAATGATTGAATAAAAGAATGATCTTGTTTTTGCTATAACTCACAGCTTTGAAGAGAAAAAGAAGTCTTTTTGGACCTTCTTACTCTATCCAAAAGATGAGTCTTTTCAACCTGTCATCCAAAACATAGGTGTCATGTAGCAATTATGTTCCTGGTAGAAGGGGAAAGTAGGAGGAGAGGAGGTATTTGGTTCTTTTCATACAAAACCAAAGGAATTTTTGGCAGTAGGGTATTCATATTTGGGCAGTATTATTTCTTTGACTAGAGATTTGATGGTGAATCTGCTATCATGATGTAAGAAAGCTTTGAAAACTAAGTGAAAATTGCAGATTAAACTGATTTTTTTTTTGCATTTAAAATGTCATGTGCAGAGTATGTTTTGGCACCTGTACAAATCTGAGACCCTGTATATATATATATGCGTGCTTCCAATTTATGATAGTTCTAAGCTTGAAAGAAGAACTTATGACTAATTTCTTCCATCCACGAGATTAAAAAGCTAGGGCAGACTCTGTTAAATGTAAAATAATAAACTGTTTCTTAAAAATGAAATGTTATATAATTGTACTAGTTTACCAAACTGAAATAAAATATAGGTGTATGCTGTATATTAAAAAAATCTCATTCTCACTGTAAGTCCAGATGGTAGCTCTCTTGAGGGGAAAGATGAAGCCAGTTGATTCTAAGAATTGATCCTGCTTCTACTATGTATATAGTTGGTAAAGTCAGCACTCTTTTTAAATTGTCCTCAGCCTCAAAAATAAATCTATCAACTTACTGTTCATGCAGTGAAGAGCAATTCTCAAAATAAACTTAATTCCCTTGTCCTAGCAATAGCTTTTGAATAGTACTCTTTATAATGTTTTTAAAAGTCAAGGGATTTAAAAAACAGTTGACTCTGCCTCCTGATTTTAAAGTTCAGTTGTACAATAGATGTGTAAACATTTACACATGCAATATGAATAATTTTAGTGAGATTTTACTAATCTCTGATGAATTATTAAAAATTAAACATGAATTGAAATATTTACAAAGGAGATAGTTTTTACCCTAACTATATTGAACACACACACACACACACACACACACACACACGCACATACCCCCACACAGCCACACAGTCACAGCCACAGCCACCCACCCCTTGTGGAACTAAATGCCAATTTGCAGTTTAGACACTCTCTGATGTCTCCCTATCTTGATATTAAAACAATCGGATTGATTCAGTATCATCTTTTAATTGATCCTATTTACAGTTAATTAATTTTGTCCTGTAACTGCCTAAGTTTTGGTTCTTTGTCTCTGAACTTAGTTCAGAATTCAGCTGGCCTTTAGTGAGTTAAGTTTAGAAATCCAGTCTTTTTGTTAATCACTGTTCTGTTCTTGTGTCAAGGGAAATCTGTTACCCTTGAAGAATGGAGGTGGACACCAGGGAGTATGGTTTAGTATCTTTATACCACCAAGCTATCCTTCAAGGATGCCTGACTTGTTATCCAAAGAAGTCTGGTCCTCTATCTCTAACCTTGCAGGTGGCCTCAAACATGAACACTTGTTAGTTGAAAGAGGGAAGAAGGGGATTGTTCCTTGCTCCTTATTGCCAGTTTCCAGTTAATCATACTGCCTCTCATGCCTCCTCAGTTCTGTAATTAATCCTGTTGATTTCACCATTTATGTTGTAGAGCTCTTTTAACCAATCATAACTTGTTCCTCTCCTATGAAGTCCTGTT